TGTGTGTGTATATATATATATATATATTGTATATGTGTGTATATATATATATATATATGTATGTGTATATATATGTATATATATATATATATTTATTTATTTATTTTTTCCTCAAATGAATTATTGCATGTCTAAAAAACTGATGTAAAAATGATCTGAACAAAGATAAATAAATAAAACCATGTCAATATGTTCCTCAACATTTTAGTGTACTTGTTTACCAAGGAAACAACCAGAATGAGATCATATCGTCGTATGAAACAAAGAAAAATCAAGGTAAATATCTTGTAAGCGGTGTTATTTAGTTTTGTGAACTTTTACAAAAAGATTCAAAAGATTTACGGATTGTGTGACGGATGTTAGGATTCAAAGCTTGTCAATGTAATTTCCACCACACAATGTTATTAAACACAATGTATAATTTGATATGTGATGGAAATGTTCAAAAATGCGAATGAAAAGGCTCCCTCCAGGACCTCAGAAATGCACCTGTTGCTAAATGTGAGTCCAGCTCTGGCCACGCGGCGGAGAATCCCGCCTACAGCTCTCCGGTGACGGGACAAATAAAACCGCGTCCAGCGGGAGAAGGTGGTAGGAACAGTGAGCATCTCGCCGTGGACTCTTCAGAAAACCAACATTTCGCATTCTTGTTTTCATATCGGCTGCAAAGACACGGACTGCTGGACAGAAAAAGGGTGAGTGACCTTGAGTATTTTGAGAGCCTGTATTTGCTCATATGATGCTTGAGGAAATGTGTTTTGATATCAGCTTGTCCCAACAAAAGTTGATCTGAGGGATGCGCGAAACAACATCCATCTGCTTGCAATATGGTTCAGAGAATTCATGCATGTCGATGTGTTCAAATTTGGACTAAGACTAACTGTTGTGGACGGACGCGGTCACGTGCAAAGGATCTCAATACAAAATTAATAACCGCCTAAATAAAGTTGTTTTGTTAGGCAGATATGGCTCGTATTCTTATTCTAGCTTTAATGCTACATTGTGCGGTGCACACTGTTGATGTCTAGCGCGGCTGTGCTGCTCCGTAACGTCAGTCTTGAAGGATGAATAAAAGCACGGTGATCTTGAATTACAATTGATGTTGCAAGGTTTCCGCGCGCATTCTACCGATCGTCACCTTGGCAACAGTTCGTGATCGAATTGTCTTATATGAGTCTGCCTTTTTCAATGAATTGATTGAACCGGTTCTTCGCGTTGTCATTAAGAAAGGCAAATGACTTTAATAACAAACTAGAAGAAATGTTACAAATAAAACGAATTGGAATAAAGTTTACCACTATGTAGCGGTTTTATCAACACACTAAAACTACGACATACTGCTTTATTGCAACTCTTAGCAATAAACGTGTAAAATAGCGATGCTTGGATGCTAGAGGGTTATGAACCGAATCGTTGAATCGAACTGTGTTCAAAACATACAAATGAGTTGCACTAATTTTCGCGGGCATTTCAACGAACATTCAGACTGGGATGAGGAGGCCGCGCAAGCTCATAGAAAAAGCGGGCTGATGGAGAAATTTGTATTTTTTTTAATAATGTCCTAACACCATACTAAAGAACTAGCTGGTTAATTAAAACTTAATTCAAAGCTGGTCTCTTCACACAGACAGAGGTAACTTATGTGACTTAAAGCACATCACGAGTAGACACGCCCCTTATTGCTGATTGGCTACAAGTTTGTTTTGCGATTCGGCCCGAATCAGTTTTCTAAAGTGTTTTTGAAAAATCACATACCCTGCCTTTAACTCATTCTAATTGTTTGATAGGAGTCTGTCTCTCCACTGCAGTTGCTCCCACAAGCCTTATATGTATATTACATCGTTTTATTTATACACATTATATTAAACAATGTTTTTTTTTATGACAGGTTTACTAAACATATTTCTAATATTTTGTTCGAAGTAGCTATCGCTTGGCTGTTGGCGTTCATGTTTCAACATAAAATGTTGCTATGGCTATCAGCATTTCACATTGTTAGCCGACAATCGACTCAATATTACATTGTTCACACACAGACCGATAAATAAGCTAGTTACGTAGCTACTCCTGAAATATCTGGACACGAAATATAATTTTTAATAGAAATAGAATTGAAATCAAATTTAATTATTTTACAAATGTACCTTTTATTCTTAATAAATAATCCACTGCAAAGTGCAAAAAAAATCAAGCCAATATATTAAAGTTGAACAATATTACTGAGGTAATTTTCACATTAGATGGGGAAATTTTGTGAGTTTGCACTTAATTGGTTTGGGAAAAAATAAGCACATGTATTAAACGAGAGATTAAGTTCGCAGTGTGATACGGGATACATAAACGTGTTGGACTAATATACACCCTTGCCATGGACAGTGGTGAATTTTATGAAATACCTGACCGCTGGAAGTAAAAAAAAGTTCTGAATACACAGGTATACTGTTAGCGAACATCCCGATGGCGCCCCCAAACTGCTCTTTCCTCTCAATTAACAAACACACAGCAAAAATGACAGTGGTGAGAAAACAGCAGTTAAGAAAGCATCTGATTATACTGACGTGTATATGTTTGCATCACTATACAATTCGACACTATCACTTTATTCAGTAGATAGCTTTAAAGCAAGCAGCTTTATAGTAAAACACATGAATAAAAGTGTCATTGTCGCTTTCAATTAGAATTACAACCTCAAGATCTACTATAAAGCAGCACTCCAGTGTGTTAATATTTTTTCTTGTGTTTGACCCTGACGGACTGAACATAAGAAATTAACTAAAGATTTCCTTGTTAAAGACGGTGGAGCCAAAGAGCACACTGACCAACACATACTTACTACAGACTAATGGTAGTTCAAAGGTGTTTACCAGCCGGAGCAAACTTTTCCAGAAAGTTCACTTGGCAAGCTGTTTCAAAGTCCAAAAATGAACTCCAAACGAACTTTGTTTCAGTCAGATTTTGTACAATATGTTGTCGATCTTTAATTTAGCTTAAACTATATCGGTGCCTTTGCAGTACTCTCTCTCTGGACTGATACTATTGGACACTACTGTGATACTGTGATGTTTCATTTCAGTTCTCTATACACTACTTTAGTTCTCTACAATTTACCAAACTCTGTGTGTGCAGAATGAGAGGAATCACTCAGGACAGAATGTGCATGTTTGCTTAAAATGCAGTATTTTCCCATATCTGTTCCCATACCAAAGCTGGAACTTGTCTGTTGAGCCAGTGTTGTGTGGATGTGTGTGCAGAAATGAAAGAAAGGCCATTGCAAGGAATGTGTGTGAGTATCTGTACTGCATGTGCAGTAGGCCTGTATGAGTTGCTGACAGCTTCCAGCATTGTTCCTGTCATCCATTCCTGCACAGCAGCTGCAGTACTGCAGGCCATAAATAATGCAACATCTCTGCTAGCTGTTCATGCTGATTCCTTTATGAGCATATTTAGCAAATTATAATGGTCTCCTTTTTTCTGGAGTTCCTGTGTAGTTCAGCACATGTCTTCCTGACACTTTTCTGCAGCATCTGCATAATGAGATAATGTAAATGCAAACATTGCTCGCATGCCAGCGTGTGACCCACTTTGCAACAAAAAACGTGTAAAAGGGTAAAAAAAATCAACATGTGCCTGTTCGTTTTGCACAGAAATAAGAAATTATATTTTGAAGAAAAATAATATGAAGCTTATTAGCATTATCCTAATTCAACACATTACTCTACTGTGAGCCAGTTATAGCCAGTTATTATAATGTTTTTACATTACATTTAGAGATCGACCGATATATCGATTTACCGATATTGTTCCCGATATTTAAGCATTTTACAATAATCGGATATCGGTTTGATATGCAGTTTATGCAGCTTGTCTCGAAGAAATAGAGACAAACTCGCGGAGTCACGTAAAATAATCCGTCAAGTCCTGTCCCAATAAAGACGTAACTTTGTGTGAATCAAATAAAATACAGCCATGAATGAGCGCATGTTGGAAATAAAAGTGCTGAATTGAATTCTCTCTCTGTTGTCTATGCTCATCATTAGTCTCGTGAAGCTGCTTTCATATTGCTGTTCACTCAGCGGGTTGATGCTCAGGAAATTCTCCAGCGTAAACTGCGCTGTCAGCAGGCATTTCATAATCTAGAAGGACAAAAACATTATTAGTAATTCTGATATAACATGCCAGTTGAGAAATGCAATAAAATACGATGTTTTGTTTGTTATATTTCAATATTCCAGAGAATATTATTCAGTGAATTAACATTATCCACTGTTGTAATTATTATTATATTTGATCACGTCACGTCATTGTTCGGTACAATTTATTCTGTCTTTTTGCTTATTCAACATACAATTTCGGTTGCTGAACATTCGGTGCATCCCTATAAATTTTCATACAATTTCTTATTTCTGCTTTTGATTTTGAGTGAAAAGTGATCTGGACATGCTTACATTAAATTTACCCATTACATTTTATGCCCAATTAATTCTCAAGGATGTTACATATCAGGTTCTCTGTTAGGGCCCTATGATTTCTGTGATGTGTAAAACGTGGATGGAAGTGCAGGATCCAGGCATAAAAAATGGAATTTGGAAAACATTGAATGAGTAATTTGAAAGTAGTGCTGAATACTTAAAATAAAAAGACTAAAAACACATAAAAAAGACTAGGCTAGATGTAAGATCTGTATCTTTTGCGAGTCTCTGAATAAATGGCATGGTTTCGTCAACTACACACACTCAAGCACATTTTTTTAGACATGTTTTCAGCATCTGCCATCTCACTATATGAGGACATGAACATATAAACTTTAATCTCCAGAGCTGCTCTGAGATTTCACTTCAACAGCATCTCACCATTTCATTTGATAAAAACGTTTGTCATATCATATACACACACAAACTCAAAAGGTCTTCACAACTCATCAAAATAAATGTTTGGTTTAACTTAAAAAAATTATGAAAAAAAAAATTTATTACTATTATAGAGTTGAATGTACATCTTAAAGCAATAATAAAAATAATAATGCAGTTATTAACCTAATCAGTGTTTTGATTTAAAGAGTAAACCTGTACAGCACTTTGTTTGCCAAAAAACGAAAGGAATTTTACAAATTCATTTGATGACTCTTTGAAAGTTTAATTAAATTGTTAAAGTTTTATGCATTTATTTGATTACCACCATTTTTGACAAAGAATTTCTATCAAATCATAAATCACAGAATCCAGAAAAATGAAAACAAACATCAGAGAATTTATGACAAATCAAACAAATTTCATAGGGCCCTATTAGTGTTAAAATTCTAGTAAATTGTTAGTTTTCCAAATTCAACTGATTAGACACCCTTTTTGATTGTAAAAATAATAATAATAATAATAATAGTAATCAAACCATTAAAATGTTAAAAAACATGTAAAACACCAAACTTGGGAAAAAATAAAATGGAATTATAAAAAAAAGTTTAGTTATTTGTTATATCTTACATTACTAGCTTACATTTTACTTTAATCCTCAACCTCTTTTTTTCCCAAACAAACATAAATCGACAGAAATAACATAAGCATTTTGGATGGCCTCGGTTGTAGTTCTGCTCCAAATATCTGACCTTGAGGGGTATAATTTCAAGGTCGTTTATTTGGCGGGCTGCATTGTTTTGATTGTGATGGTGAAGGAATGTATGAATGGGCACTTTGCTCCCACCCTCAGCCCTGCCACACAAAGCCTCTCTTTGACCAGGAGCCTGGAGGGAAACCCACTCCCACCCTGTCTGGGACAGCATACACAAACCGTGTGTTGTGATCAGACTCTGTGGTGTGTGTGAACCTGGGGTGAACAGGTATAATGTCATGATCATAAGGATGTTCTTCTATCTGCTCTTGGCAGCCTGAGCGTCTCCATAAGGGGGCTGAGATCAACAGGTGCCCATTATTGCAGTAGAGGAGGGGGGGGCAAGACTACAAAAGACTCAATGTTAGTCAGTCTCTCTTCCCTTAAGAAATTATTACGTTTAGTTAGTGATCTTTACAAAGGTCAAACTTTCAGGCAATCAATGGTCATTAACATGACATGCTCTGCCTTTCTACATTTTCCCAAGTTATAGGTGATTTTCCTCTGCACTATGCTGAGTGGTTGCTAACTTGCTAGGTGGTAGGGTGTTCTGCATCGTTGCTAGGTGCCGGATGCACCAGCTGTGCGAAGGTTTGTTGCGATATAAATCGACTTTTGCACTACTAAATATTTTTCTGTTGCACCATTAAACTTAGCTGAAAATCTTAATACATAAATATCATCTCTTGTGTTTTTTTCTTTTAGCAGTATTTACAGCTTGCAATTAATTTCAAATACAGAGTCTGAATGTTATTTACATACGAAAAGGCACTGGATGCACCAGCTGTGTGAAAGGTAGTTGCGATATAAATGGACACAAAGTTACGACTTTTGCACAACTAAATATTTTTCTGTTGCACAACTAAATATTTTTCTGTTGCACCATTAAACTTAGCTGAAAATCTTAATAAATAAATCTAATTTCTTGTGATTTATTTTCTCTTTGCAGTATTTACAGCTTGCAATTAATTTCAAATACAGAGTCTGTATGTTATTTACATACGAAAATACTTATTACATTAACTGTGTTTTAGTGGGAACTTACTACATGAGGCAAGCAGGATAAACTCACAGCATAAATTCACATAATTTCAACACAACTTCAGTGCACAAAGGACAAACTAGCTAGTTTGTGGAGGTGCTTTGCTTTTCCTTCTAGCACTTTGCGTGTGTTGGCATTGTATCATAGTGCATGCATGTGTGCACTGAAGCGTGTGTATGCCAGCATGTTTTTAAAGACTGCATTCCTGAGATTGCTGAGCCGTATCCTGAAGATTAATTGTAACTGAATTGTGACTGGGTGATTGTTTAGACCAGACCCAGTGACCTGCTTTCTGTCCAACACATACAGAGCTATCCGGTTACAAATTAGGGGGTCATCATGTGTTTGTGCATTTATACTAGTTTTATACTAGCTTTTTTCTCTTACAGCAATTTGACCATTCATTACAGCTATGTAACCAAATCAAAGATTAAACGCCCATTCACACCAAGAACAATAATAATAATAAAAACAATAACTATATTAGCATCCATGCCAACACACAATAAGATTAAGTTTATCCTAAACATGCTGTAGTTTTGTCATCTACTGCTTTAAATGCACAGGCTTTTAAAAATGGGTGGATCCTGATTGGCTGTGTCAATATTTAAAGAGATACTGTAGTTCAAAATTCTGTCATTAATTACTCACCCTCATGTCGTTCCAAACCCGTAAGACCTTTGTTCATCTTCAGAAAACAAATTAAGAAATTTTTGATGAAATCTGAGAGCAACTGACACGTTCAAGGCCCAGAAAGGTAGTAAGGACATTTTTAAAATAGTCCATGTGACATCAGTGATTCAACCTTCATTTTATGAAGCTACAAGAATACTTTTTATGTGCAAAGAAAACTAAAATAACGACTTTATTCAACAATTTCTTCTCTTCCATGTCAGACTTTGATGCACATTCATGACAATACAATGACGCATGCATGTGCATTCCTTTGCTTGTTTTCTCGTAGTATTCTTGTATATTTGTAAAATTACGGAATTTTCATTTTTGGGTGAACTATCCCATTCAACATCAATCCAGACAAAAATAAAACAGACCACACAGATTTAGGGCCCTATTATTGTAAAATGAATAAATAAACAATGAATTAAATAAATAGTTGCCATTTTAGGACTTAAATCGATTAGGCATGCTTTTTGCTTTTTTAAAATATTATTAAACCATTAAAACAGAATCCAGAAAAATTAAAAAATAAAACATTTCATAGGGCCCAAAAATGTCATTTGTTTTAGACTTTTAATGAATTGTTGTTAAATTGTGTGTTTAATTATTTCAATTAAGAATGTATCTATTGAAATGGAATTCAGAAAAAAAAATTGAGAAATATAATACAAATTTCATAGGGCCCTATACACTCTAAAAAATGCTGGGTTAAATATAACCCAGTGCTGGGTAAAATAGGGACAAACCCAGCAATTGGGTTGTTTTGACCCAGCGGTTGGGTTAAATGTTTAACCCAACCTTCTGGGTAGTAACCCAACCGCTGGGTCAAAACAACCCAATTGCTGGGTTTGTCCCTATTTTACCCAGCACTGGGTTATATTTAACCCAGCATTTTCTAGAGTGTAAATATCTTTTAGTTGTCACATTTTTATTGTTGCATACCCTCATAAAGCTCAGCTTACAAATGAAACATGAACAAGGTTAAAAGCATTTTGTGGAGCGAGACAAGTGTAATTGCTGCATAAGCAGCTGGACAATGTATTTTCTCAGCTTTAAATCGAGGCTGACAGACTAGGAGCCTGTTGTGCTTGCCCAGATAAAGTCATTGGGATTGTTTTTGAGTATTAGTGGTTTGGTCCGTGAGCGTTCTTGCTGTGGTATCCTAGCGATGCTCAGCTCTGGAATGCGAAGCCGGGGTGTGAAGTGCAGCTGTGTTGTCGCCTCCTTAGCGACTCTGACATGCCATTGGCTGGCTGCCTCACAATGCCTTCTGATTGGCAGGACCTATGATCCGTTTGGATCACTGACTGATGATAAAACAAACAAGAGGCCCAAGACAGGGATCTTTCTTCATAAAGTTTTATTTTTGATTGCCAGATTGTTGTTCATTGCGGAGTCTTGCCAGTATTCTGGCAACAGAATATTCTGAATCAAGCTGTTTCATATAGAAGATTGCCGTTATGGAAAGCTGCATGATTTCGTAACTTATAACCTTGCAGTATAACCAAGATAAACTAATGACAGTCAATCTGCATGATACAAGCTGAGTAAAATACATTCTGTAGCCCTTTCTGAGAAATAGCTGAACACATCCATGTTCACAGAGTTTGTGACTGAAAGTGTGACATTTTACACTCTTTAATGAATGATGGAATCTGGCAGGTACGGGTTTAACACATTACAGATTAACAGAGGTTTAGCTTCACTCCGAGGAAAACACTGGCAGAATTGTTTTCGGAGAAAATTTTACTAACAGGAAACTTGACGGCCTGGAATTCCATCCAGGTTCACTTTAGAGGCATAAGCCATTTTTTACGCATACAGAATATTTGAACTAGTGGGACTAGTGAAAATCCGGACTTTTACTTATTCAACTTGTTTATTCATTTACCTCGTTCCAAAGTGTTATGCTGTATTTTTGTGAGGAAAACTAAAGGAGAAATTTCAACTGCTTTAAATGCACAGGCTTTTAAAAATGGGTGGATCCTGATTGGCTGTGTCAATATTTAAAGAGATACTGTAGTTCAAAATTCTGTCATTAATTACTCACCCTCATGTCGTTCCAAACCCGTAAGACCTTTGTTCATCTTCAGAAAACAAATTAAGAAATTTTTGATGAAATCTGAGAGCAACTGACACGTTCAAGGCCCAGAAAGGTAGTAAGGACATTTTTAAAATAGTCCATGTGACATCAGTGATTCAACCTTCATTTTATGAAGCTACAAGAATACTTTTTATGTGCAAAGAAAACTAAAATAACGACTTTATTCAACAATTTCTTCTCTTCCATGTCAGACTTTGATGCACATTCATGACAATACAATGACGCATGCATGTGCATTCCTTTGCTTGTTTTCTCGTAGTATTCTTGTATATTTGTAAAATTACGGAATTTTCATTTTTGGGTGAACTATCCCATTCAACATCAATCCAGACAAAAATAAAACAGACCACACAGATTTAGGGCCCTATTATTGTAAAATGAATAAATAAATAATGAATTAAATAAATAGTTGCCATTTTAGGACTTAAATCGATTAGGCATGCTTTTTGCTTTTTTAAAATATTATTAAACCATTAAAACAGAATCCAGAAAAATTAAAAAATAAAACATTTCATAGGGCCCAAAAATGTCATTTGTTTTAGACTTTTAATGAATTGTTGTTAAATTGTGTGTTTAATTATTTCAATTAAGAATGTATCTATTGAAATGGAATTCAGAAAAAAAAATTGAGAAATATAATACAAATTTCATAGGGCCCTATACACTCTAAAAAATGCTGGGTTAAATATAACCCAGTGCTGGGTAAAATAGGGACAAACCCAGCAATTGGGTTGTTTTGACCCAGCGGTTGGGTTACTACCCAGAAGGTTGGGTTAAACATTTAACCCAACCGCTGGGTCAAAA